GTCCTGTAATCATTCGGCTTTTTGCTGAAAGCCCAAGAAAAATTTTGGTGGAAAGAGACAGAGGAGCCCCGGGCAGGTCCCCGTTGTGTCGGTGGGTGTCCCACGGCATCTGCCGGAAAGGGCTAAAACTGCGTCCTCGGTCAGGAATTATTTAAGGAGGTAATTGCCGAGGGACAGAATTCACTCCCTGGGTGTGCTGGAGTCATTCTTGGGTGTGGATAAACATTCCTCGGGAAATACGGGAGAGTTGGTGTATTTGTTTGCCTTTGTTACACTTATCTCCAGCTCACTGTGAAATTGGCAGCAGCGCACAGGGCTCGTACTCTTCATATTTTTGTGTGCATGTTAGCAGTGCTTCATCTCTTGGGGTCTGAAAGGAGCCTGCCGTCTTATTTAGGTTTTAGCAGGTGATAGCTATTAATAGCTATGTTTTCTAATGGGCAAAAAAAAAAAACACACACAAACCCACAGGGTTTTAACGATCAATATTTAAGGAAGGTTTGCTTGTGGGATGGAATAACATGTAAGGTTGGAAGGGGCCCATAAAGGATCATCAAGTTGGAAGGGACCCATAAGGATCATCAAATCCAACTCCTGTACTTAACTGTTAGTGTGATGATACTCTAGGATATGTGTAAACAGTGTGAGATCAAGCTAAAGTGGTGACTAATGTCCTCTTAGAGCCAGTTAAGTTGTATTAATTCGTGAGACTGTAGATCTCTTTCATTCTTCATACCTGGTGTTAGAGTGTATTGGTGCAAGAAGGTGACAGGCAAAAAAAGTGTATGTACAGGCCTTATTATAGGTCAGAATGAAGTAACTTCTGAAAACTACATATTTAGTAAAGAGATTTAAAAAAAAAAAAGCCACCAACTTTTTCTTCATGCTTTCAAGTATCATTGAAATGTCTTCCCTTGTTCTTTTTTTAAACAGAAATACAACACTGAAGAGAATGTTTTTTTCTTCAGTAAATTGACATATTCCTGGTTTAGCAGGTGAGGATTTAATAAACTGCTTGTTGCTGTTCATTGATGCTCAGAGAACTGAAGACTGGGCACTTACTTTCCAGAATATCATTCTGTCTTGAGCCTAAGATTGCTATTAGATTTTTGCAGAAAAATCAAAGTTTGCAACACGTAGAGGTCATATTCAAGTCTGTATTGTCTATACATAGTAACAGGGATTTTATACATTATCTAATGGCATTATTGAAAACATATTTTGAAAACTAAACACATTGTTCTTGTCACAGCGGATAATACTTTTAGACAAGGGGATATAAAAGGCCAGATTAAATTATCCTTCTTTATTTGTTATCCTTTTTTTTTATTACCCGTCTATGTAAAGTTTGGCAATATACTAATAAGATTTCCTTTATCATGTGGTGATCATGTGGTGATCAACTATCTAAATCTCCAGAAACAAATATTCAGCAGTGCATGTAAGGTTTTTTTCCAAGTAGCCAATTTCATGCTCATTTTCCTCCCTCTTTGATGGCAGGTCACAAATTATAACTGTAGCTCACCTGCTCACATAGAATAGGAAGTTTCTCTGCTTCTTGAGAAATTTTCCACCAAAAAATAGGAACTGAAAACTAAACTCTATCAAATCACACAGCTTCCTGTCACTTAATATTTTGAGTGTTATTTTAGACAATTTTGCATGTTATGTTTTGTGACCATTACTAATTTTTAACATTTTTTTCTTGAAAAATTACTTCAGTCAGACTTACACACTTCAAAAATCCAAAAATGGGAAAAAACCATGTTTCTTGCTTTATTCAATATTCGTAATTTTAAGGAAAAAATGAAAATTATATTTGCTGTTAATAAGCTGAGACAAAACATCAGATTGTTTCAAGGATTCAGAGTATTCAATTAAACTCTGGCCTTGTTGAAATTACAGGGGTTCACCTTTGTTTTTTACCAATCCTTACATTCTACACCATAAATACAAATTTTTAGTTTTTCTAAGAAGTTGTGCAGTTTACTGAGTGCTTCTGTACGACATTATGAGCTCTTTATGCCACAGTGTTTGCCCAGATTTTCAAGCTAGACTGTCTTTTGTATATTTTAACCAATTTCACAATGTTTAACAAAAGAAGAAAAAAAACAACTGAAAAAATATTTCATATTGTGAACATTAGATATATTCCCTCTTTTCAATCACAGGTAAACAGGATAAACTATGGCTCATATGTTCGCACCTTAAGTGCTTGCAATCACAATGAGGAAGTCTCAAATTCACTGTTGCATAATAAACCCATAATCCTATGTTATGTTTCTTTAGAAATCAGGCATTCTGAAGGTTATGGTTTAGTAGATCTGTTTATCCTCTGGCAGCAGTGAGTTTTAGAACTGAGATGCATTATGCAGAATTCTTGAAAAACAGTTCCCACTTGAGTACCAATCAGTTTGCTTCCCTCACCTGTCTTAAAAACTGACGCTTTTAATGGGAGACTGTGTTAATTTTTTGCCTTAATTTATCATGCTTAAGACAAATGCACTTCGTATTAATGTTACATCTTCAGTAGATGTTTGGGTGGCCCCTGGGGATAGTGAGGTCTGCCCTCACCAGAATTTCTCAACCTCCAAAACCAGCATTTTTGAGTCCTGTTTTGTGTCCTGTGATAAGCACAGTAGCACACACAGTAGGCCCAAGGGCAGCACTGGCACTGAGGGGCACGGGAATGATACGCACTGGAAGGGCACATGTGAGGAGATGGACACTGTGCTTGTGTTGCAGCATTCAGGCAGGGAGATCCTCACTGACTAAAAAAGCATGAGAGCTGGCACTGACATTCTTAAGACCAGTTTTAGGGGTTTTTTACACTGAAGTGGATGAAAGCACTTTGTTGAAACAAAATTTCAACAGCTGAAGGTTTGCTGTAGGGAAACTTCCATTATACTTGTGCTGAAGCACAGTACTTTATTGTTGTTACCTTGCTTAAAGAGGAGTTGCAGCATGAGTCACCATCCCTGGAGGTTTTTAAAAGATGGGTAGGCATGGCACTTGGGGACATCATTTAATGGTAGACTTGGTGCTGTTAGGCTGACTGTTAAAGTCATCTTAAGGGTTTTTTCCAACCTAAATGATCCTGGAATTCAGTGACAACACACTCCTGTGATAGAAATGGCATTTCATTCCAGATCAGAATAGTAAGTGGGTAATGGTACAACACATGTCTGTTTATGAAGTACTGTGTTTTTCTGTAAAGAAATACAGGATCGGAAATGTAGACAGATTCTGAGGTATAAAGGTTCCTCAGAATTTGCTGTTCAGATGTGACAATCTGCTTGGGCTCTCCTTAATTCAGTGTGAATTTCAGTGCATTCAAGGTAATTGTAAATATGTTCCACTGTTTAGTCTGTAGCTTTTATAGGATTACATGTATTACTTTGGTTATAGACTTTATTTACATACGCTAAATTATATAATTATCATTTTGAATTATTAGTTCTGCTTGTTTTGTCTGCTGCATTTCAAGCTGTCCAAATTAATTGCTTTCTTTCAGAGTGATATCTACAGGCTACAAGAAGCCATTGGAAAGGGAGGACCTGTTTGAACTCAGTGAAAGTGATTCACCATATAGTGTGTGTCCTAACTTTGAAAAGCAATGGAGAAAAGAAATCCAGAGGCCAGCTACAGGATTAATGGTAGCTATAATTCTGACAATAGGCAATATCCTCTTCTAAAGTTAAGGCGTCTGAAAACTGGAGAAGATTTAAAAAATCTTGTTGTTTATTGAACAATCTACATTTTGTAGGACACAGAGGCCCCTCAGTGTTGGGATCAGTGATCTCTAATATGGCTATAGAACCAATCTCTGATATGGCTATAGAATTTTCAAACTTACCTCTTAGAATGATATCCTGTTACATTACAACATTTCAAGTGATAAAGAATGTACTGTGACGGGTATGGAATGTACAGTGACTTTTATTTGTTGATGAATTACCATATTACCAAACTGTCCAACTCATTTTTCCCTCTGAACTTCTCTACTTCCCTGTGTCTTTGCATCTGTATTTCAGGTAGTAGAAGAGTTTATGAGCAGCTTGTTTATTTGTAGTCACTGTCTTACAGAACATGCAAAGCAGGCTTCAATTTTCTTTAATTTCAACAATATTGAGTTTTACAGATATTTGGGTTTTTTTTTTGCTTGAGTCTTGTTTTACATTTTTATGTAAATCCTTGACAGTTTCAGTCACAGCTACTGTTTGTTGTAGTTCCAATGCACAGTAGTTCCAGTCTAGTTCCAACCTCTGTAATATCAGGAAGTTCATAGGATGAGGATCTCACCTGTAAGAGTGAGGCTTTTGCTTTTTAATGACTTACTGGTGAGTCCTACAGAGTCTCCTCTTACTGCATTTCATCAGCGTTTTTCTTAGCTATTTATGCATTTGCCCTTCCTTCCACTGATGATATAAACCCGCAAGCCCTTTCTACTGGAGCATTTAAAAGTATTTGCCAGTAAGGATAATTTTAAATTCAGAAACTGTTTTTATAATTTGAGTAATCTGAAAAAAAAATCCTGTCATCATTATGATGGTGTTAGATGGACAGTTTCATATTACGTATTTTATATTGTAAAGTGGGTGAAGTTCAAAAATTTTTTTTCTCTTAATTCTGTATATGTTTTTGTAATCTTGCAGGCTTCTTACATCCAAAGAATGCTATTGAAGAAAACAAGTTTCCATAAACCATCTTTGATTTTGCCATTATGGCAAACATTTAAATATTTATTGATTAAACTTGCTTTTCTGAAAGTTGCAGCTGACGTTCTGGCTTTTGTGAGTCCACAAATAATGAAGTAAGTGTTCAATGTGTTTTACTTTATTTTCAAAGAGAAACAGTAATAATAAAGTTGAAGGGTTACCAGTATCAAAACCAATTTAAGCAACAGCTTAAATGTTTAAAGATTTTATCCTCCCCTTCTGTGATTACCTGAAAATGATTTAATGAGGGAATGGTCAAAGCGATCAGAAATTTTATAGATAAAGCAGAGACAAAACCAATAGAAGTTCCACAATGCTCTATGTAAGTAGTTAATATATATAAATAAAAAAAAAAAAGTCAAATATTAAGAAAAAGGGACTACAAAGATATCAAACTTTTCTGCTTTTTTGTCTTTGATTTTCCATCTCTACTTTTAAAAAGCCTCAAATATATAAATATATAGAGAGCTTCAGCATTTAATGGAAAACTGCAATTATTCTGTTATCATATTGTTTGTATCATGAAGTTCCAGTGAGATGGGTACCAAGTGGTTTTAGGAAATTGTGCTGACCACAGATGTGTTAGGAATTGATCAAACACTTGAGTGTTTACAAAGAAAAGACTTAGTGAACAGAACTATCATTAACCTTCAAACTACACCCTGAATCAGTGTAATCCTGAACAAAATGGTTGACCATAAAATCTGTTTAAAATAATCTTTTAGTAACACGAGAATCAGAATTTTCCTCTAGACTTTTTTTTTTTTTTCTCTCTCGCTTTCGTGTTTGGCAGTTGCAACCTTTCTAAGTACAAATATATAATTATTTTTTTCTCTTTTTCTTTTATGAAATAGTTTTCTTTTATTCTTTATTTGTATTCCATTGTCAGAGAAGTTAGCAATAGCACATGTCTAGATTTGTATTGGAGAATTGTTTCTAAGCTAACAAATTCAAAAACAATGATAAAACCAGTCACTTTTAACATCATATTTTGTTGTGACCTTCCACCACAACTGGACCTAAAATAGCCTCAGTTAAACTCAATATCTCAGTTTACTGAGCTTTTTATTGTTGGTTGTTGATTTAATGGGCAGAATTTAAAATTTTTTTTTTTTCATTTTCAGAGCAATGATAGTGGCCAGTGAAAGTCAGCCTAGCTCATATTGGAGGGGTTGTGGCTATGCTATTGCCCTGTTTGTTGTAGTTCTCTCACAAACTCTTCTCCATCAGTTATACCACCGTAACAACATACTTACTGCAGCCAGAATCAAGACTGCAGTTGTTGGCCTGGTATACAAAAAGGTAATCACGTGTTCTTCTACTTCTCCTTCAAAACAAAACCTAAAACATACACACAGTGTTCAAAGACAATGTGCCTACCAGCCTGATCAAAACACAGGATGTGATACGCTCGGTGACAGGATAACAGGCTGAGGTTATTTTTTCATGGTTGTTTATTTATAATAATTTGGAATTTCAGCGGCGTTTCTGTTGTAAGACTCTGAGCCTGAAACTACAAACTCTTTGTCAGCCACATGTACAGACATAATGTTGGAGATATATGTAGAAACGGAATTCTATTTTGATTATGGGTTAAGTTCCCGAATTTGGTGAATAACATGAGAAAACCTGTTAGGTGGGATGTCTGGGAAAAACTAAAGGTATCAATGATCACTATTGTTACTGTATAGTAGCAGTGAATATGAGAAGCTGAAGTCTGTCACTCTGTCTCCTTTGGAGGTTACAATTTCCCCCAATTTTAGTTAACTTGCTTTTGAGTTGAATATGCAGTACTTTCATTGGTTTTCAGATTTTTAAAAGATGGCTAACCACTGTGGAAATCTGTAGCTTATTCCAGCTTTAGTAAGATACACTGAGCATTAGCTAATTTAATAAGATACACAGCATTAGCTACAAGGGATGCAAATGCTTATAATGCAGAAGTAAAAAAGGTTGTCTGATCTGCTAAACTTAAAAACTTTTACTGTCCTGTTATTATGTAGGATATGAGATAAGGCTGGTTTCTCAGTGCTGCACCTTTTGTTATGAACAGGGCACATGGGTGTTTTTACTGCAGTATTTAACTATTAAGCATAAGTTAAAGAAGGAAATAACCAAAAGCTGAACTAAATTACTGTCTTTGTTAATTTAAAATATAGTCTCTTTCTCAAGAGTCAAACTTATTTTTTGGCATAGACTTCTCAGGTATTTGCTGAACCAGTACACAGAATTTTACTGGTAACTTGCAAACGAGTTCAATAAAGGAATTAATTCTCTCAAGTTACATGTCAAGGTGTGTCAGTGCATCAGGTCATGAGCAGGAGAACAGAAGATTCAGCTGGAGTGGGCACATCTTCTGGGAAGTTTTCTCACTTACAGAGTAGAGATACAGCCTCTTCCTCTCTTAGTAGAGTTGATTAGTGAATGTCAGGCCAGAGCTGTGTATGACACATGGGATGGATGGTGGAGTGAGCTGCTGCAGCACTGTCTTGTTGCATGCAGGAGTTCGAGGTGACACAGTGGAAAAATGTGAGGCACTAACAGGGAGAGAGAGTGTGTGTGTGTGAGCTTATCTGGGTGTCAGTCCCGAGACACCAGGGACGTGTGGTGTCTGCCTGCCACACTGGAATGGTACCTCTTCTTGCTGTGAAGTCTCTTGGTGTTGGTTCCTGCACTGGGAGATTCTAAGCCAGGCCAAAGCTGAGGCTTTCTGAACCCTCTTTTGACCATGTTGCTATCAAGAGTTGCAAGTCTGTTCCACCAAGCTGAGCTTTGCTCCAATTACTGCCCTCTTAGCAATGTGACCTCTGTATTTTCTGGTTGCAGGCCTTAACTTTAGCAAATTCCTCACGACAAAACTATACAACTGGGCAGATTGTTAACCTGATGTCAGCAGATGCTCAGCAGCTCCTGGAGCTAGCTCTCAACATGAACGTGTTGTGGTCGGCACCTTTTCAGATCGCCATGGCTGTCGTCTTCCTCTGGAAAGAGCTCGGCCCCTCGGTCCTAGCAGGTGTTGCAGTGCTGCTTTTGGTTATACCTGTAAATGCACGCATTGCAGCCAAAGTAAGAAGGCTGAAGGTGAGATGTTTAAATTAGCACAGTAATTAAGTTGTCATAAAATACTGTTAAAATAGTGTTGGTATATCTAAGCTAACCTGCAGACAAATAAACTGTGCCACGCTGCAGCTCTTTCCCAGCGAGGGGGGGGAAGTGTAACTGCAGGAGCCAAGCCATATGTTTGGTAGCTAAACCAGCGTGTAGGTTGGATACCTAAATTTTCATTTTTCTGAAAGAATATTTTTGCATTACTGAAAATCACTGTATGATTCGATGTAGGAAACAGCTATGGGGGGTTTTTTTGCATATTACATGAGCTAATTCCGTTCAGTAAGGGATTTTGTAGGATTATGGCCCTTTTCCACTTCTATTATTCAGACTAAGCTGCACAGTAAAAATTTAGCATGTTCTCCTGAGGTTATGGGAATTCCCCTAGAGGTAGTGTGTGTGTGTTCTGACTTCTTTTATGTTTCTCTGATGCTACAGATCTCTTGGCACTGTATTGCCCATCACTGTTATAATTTCTGTGAGCTCCACGGAAAAAGTACTACTACCTTAAGTCTTGCATTGCTTTCAAGGCAATTTGTTGTCTTATTCTATCTTTGGTGGTGTAACTTGCAATGAAGACTGTCCCCATTAATTCTTTTTTAAGGCTGAGACAGTTTAGAGATACTGACAAAACCCCCCAAAAAACCTCTCACCTCTTTTTCAGGTGAGGTGTAGCAGCTGCAAATGCACTTAGATCCCTAATGTGACATGAGAGAGAGAGGAAATACAAAGGATAATAAAATCATTCTGTCTAAAAGTTTTCAACTTGTTGTTATATATGAATAAGACTCCAAACAGTAAAGAAGCTGTTACTGCGTATTTTTGAAATGTGAGATGCAGAAGAGCCTGAGTGTAGCATAAGAGTGAGGAGAATTTCTGGGTTTTTGGGTTGTTTTAATAACAATGTATTCATCAGTAACAGAGGAAATTTTCTTCCTAATTTCTGTGTATGTGCATATATATATGTATACAGTGTTTTATATTCATATAATTACATATATATTCACATGTGGGTGTATTTAGTGTTACACAATATTATTATTGAGTCTATATTTACCTGCTTAGCAGTTTTTAAGATTACAAAACATTACCATTCCTGAACCCCCTGGGAACTGGCAGCCTGGTAAGATTTTAATTCAATGGAAAGAAAAATAAACTGGACAAGAATTGAAATGTGCATTTAAGCTATTTTAGGGTAAAATAGTTATTTTCATGTATTTAATCCCATCTAATTTTTTTTTTTACTATGTCTGTGTGAAACTGGTATAACTGCAGTGCTAATGTGTTTTTCAGCAAGGTAAAAATAGCATAAAAGTGTCTGCAGTGCACTGCATATTTTACTTTCCAAAAGCATTCATTTTTTGAAAAATGAAAACATTTCTTTCTTTTAATCAGAAAAGCCAAATGAAGTATTCAGATCAACAAGTCAAGCTATTAAGTGAAATATTACATGGAATAAAGGTAATGACGCAACTAATAAGGGGCTTTGGGTTTTTTTAGTTAGGTTGTAAATGTAGTAACTTATTTTAAAAACTTAGGTTTTATGAGTAATGTTTCAGCTAACAATGATGCAAGTTTAAAGATACAACGTTTTAACATAATGTGCTTAAAGGTTTTTTGGAAAATATTTACTGGTTTAATTTGATCTGAAAAACTCAGTATCCATGATGCATTAATTTTATTACCAAATTTTTAATTGAAAAATAAAATATTTTAATAGATGTCTTAAAACATTTAGCAGAGTGAGGCTGTAGCATAGAAGAGAAGCACTTTTAAAAGTTGTCTTATTTTTGTTATTTATCCTGTTTTGAAACCAGCTCATCCTTTGTGATACATAACGGACACTTTGAAATCTGAAGAATTAAGAGTGACTAAAGTATATTTCCCATAAGAACAACCTAATTTAAAGTTACGTCTGATCCTGCTTTCCTTTGTAAAACATTCACATTTTTCTAGTTTGGCATTGGTGAATGTTTGAAAGTGACCTTGGAGATTAGGTTAATTTCTGAAGCCTGGTCACTGGTTTTTTGTTTTATTAAAATATGTCTGTTTGATTGTCTAGATCCTGAAACTTTATGCGTGGGAACCTGCCTATCAAAGGAAGGTCTTGAGCATTAGAGAACATGAAGTGGGTGTTCTGAAGTCATCTGGATATCTGACAACTTACTCCATGCTGACCTTGACATGTATTCCTTTTATGGTAGGTTTTATAAAAATATTAATTTATGCAAGACTGTTTCTCAAGTTCCCTGTCTTTTTAGTAGCTGACTGGCTCAGAAATGTTGCCTCTCAGTGCCTCAAAACATTAAATTTTCAACACACTATATTTGAATTCTCAGGTTATAATAGCGTGTATATGACTAGAGAAGAAGGAGAGAGATTGTGAATTGACCAAGGTTTTAGATCAAGGTTTTAAAGATCTCCACTAGAAAGTCAGAGCAGAAATGGGATCTTCTAAATGAAAATAAAACCAGCATCTTTGTATATATTTTAGAGTTAATGTGATTTTACTTCTTAATATATCTTTGTTATTTTTTTATTAAAAAGGTCTCATTGGCTACATTTGGAGTCTTCTTTCATCTGGACAAAGAGAATGTTTTAACAGCAACGAAAGTGTTTACATCTATTTCTTTATTCAACATTTTGCGACAACCTTTGTTTGATTTACCCTCTGTGATCTCTGCTGTAGCCCAGGTAAGCCTACTAAGAACAAGTGCTATAAAAGGCTAATTTTGTATTCTGTCATGTTTCAGCCATTTCTAGGAGTGATGAAGTAACTTGATTATTTTAAGCCACGTTTTATTGAGGTGAAACTGCACAGTATTCTTAATGGAATGCAAAGCATGAGGGCTGTTTAAAGGATGTCTCATTCTTTTAAGTACAGGGAAAATTGGGTAGCACACCTCATTGTGACTGAGCTTTCTGTTTCTTGCTTTTCTTCCTTCAGTGGACTAGACTCACCTTCTGCTCCTACTCTCTCAGTCTCTTTTCCTCATAGAAGATACGGTATGAACAATTTGGGCTACACATGGTTAAATCCCTGAGCCACTGTAATATATTGGAGCCCTTGGTACCAAATAGGGGAGACCCACTGTGGACTCTGCTATTCTGGGTTTGTCAAGTCACCACTGAAGGAAGTGGAGAAAAAAGAAGTAGAGCTCCTGAGGATCCCATATCAGCAACCTTCAGACCTAATGGTACACCAGTAGTGTTGCCCCCTGGGTTGGGAACTTCTAGCTTTTAAGACCCTGTTATTTATTATGGGTATAGCATATGAGCTGCTCATGAATGTACTCGATCACAGCTTGTACACAACTCAGCCTTTGTAAGGGAGGGGACCACTGGGAACAATTACCCATCCTAATTTGATTTAATTTATGATTAGCATACTGTTAGATCTAAACCTTTTCTTTTCCTGTTGGTTAACTTCTAGTAGCTTAAAAATAAGCACAAGGCTTAAGTTAATGTCGCTTTGTCCCAGCACGTCTCATGATGCACCCACAGTAAAATGTCTTTCT